GGGGGGGCCAGCCGAGAACCTCCTTCCTTCCCGAACGAAATGCTCGCGCCCGCTGTCGTTTCTTGGGGAGCCGACCGGAGGACTTAATTTCCGCTCGACGCCACCGAGACCCGGCCCGGTAGTTTTCCGAAAGCCCAAAAAGTCCGGATCGTCTCGGGGAGGAAAGAAGCGACCTTGGAGCCGTCCAGGAGGGAGGAAGAAACGGGATTCCGTGGCATACTCGATCGTCAGCGACGGCGGGGAGAGAGGGGGAGAGAGGCGGGGAGAGAGAAGACGCAATTTCCTCGCGGTCTTGCACCGATCCCCGTCCTCGGCCGCGCCGGTCGCCCGCCCGGGATCGACTGACCACCACCTTCTTCCAAGCCCTCTGCCAGACCCCGTGTAGCGTAATTTGTAGTGCAAGGCCCGTACGGGTTGCATCAGTCTCTCGTCGAGCCGGCTTGCCCGTAGGTCCCTTTGTACCGTATAATTATGGTGAAAGCCAGGCATACTCGTTAGTCGAACCGGGACACGGAGAGCACGGCCAAGACAGGCCGCGGCGCATTGGCGCCCGAATCCCGACTCGACCATTTTCTCCCCCGAGCCGCGCTTCCGGTCTCGATGACGTTTGCCTATCGTTTGCCTATCGTTCGCGATCCACCTTCGAGCCGCGATAAATCCTCCGAAGGACGCGCCCTGGACGACCTCGAAAATTCTTCGGGTCATCCTGGCGGGACGGCCGACCATCCGTAACGTTTGGTTTTCGTCCCTCGTCGGGAAAAAAAAAATTTCCGGAGCTTAATAGCGCAACGGCATAAGCCAAACTCCGATCCTCTCCGAGGGTTTATGTTTTTTTTTTTTACGTCTTTTTTGTTTTTGGAAAACGAGGTCGTTAATTCGCGCAGCAAACGGTTTGCGCGGCTTTCACGACGGTCGGAAGAGATTACGAACGTACTCCCTCGGCTGCACTTGCCAGGCCATTTCGAAAAGGAGGATGCAGGATCACGTGGCTGGTCCCAGGTTCCAATATCCGGAAATACGAATGAACGAAACGTGCGGGAGGGAGGAGATCGGAAAATCTAGGAGACGAATCGTTTTTATCTTTGGAGAGGGTATGAGGGAATTAGCGAAGTAACGGGTCATTTTTCACCTTGATTCGACGTATCGGATGACGCGTAACGTGGAATCGATTATCGATGTCACATTCTCGATTCGTTCGTCCCGCTGCGCAAAAGTCCGTAAGCGTTTATGGTCATTCATGGCATGACACGGATTGGTGACTGCACGTGACCCATATGCCTACATATAGGTACTCGCGGGTATCTGCACGGTTTTCCGTCTAGGCTCGTGCCTCGCCCCGGGATATCGGTTTATCGAATTAAACGGCGAAGTAAAATATTTTTATTTTTTTTCAATTTCATATAACTCTATTGAATTTTATTCGTATGCGGAATTCCTTCGATTCGCCGAAGCGGCTCGTTTGGTACCACTTTTGGGCTGTGCGAGGAAAAATTACCCTCGGTTCCGATGCGTGGGATGTAACGGTGAAAATAGTTGGCGCTACTCGGACTTTTTATTACGAATTAATAGAGTTGGCTGCGGGGAAAAAGTAAAAGCTTCCACCGGTGCGTCTCGTTAGCGGTACTTTCGACTAACGTTGTTACGACCCGAGAAAGTAGTTAAAACGACGAGTCTTTTAAGTATCATCTACGTATTTCCGAGGGTACTTTGGCTTACGGGAGTGGGGCATTAAACAATTCACAACTTTTGGTTGTCCAAAGTAGCTTGGATTTGTGCTCGCTAAGTGGTATCGTCATTTTTTATTATACCGCAGCGTTGGACATTTTCGCGCATTCGCGTAACGCGGATCGACTACCGATACTTTGTACGCCGAATAAATGCGACTTTCCCGGTAATCTCTTTCGCGCGTAAATTTCCTTTTATGCCGATGAACCGACCGTCTCGTGACGAATTTGCTTTGCAACGTCCACGCCAATGCGTTCGAGTAGTTCGAGTCTTAATGGCTAGCCCCCGACTATTCTTGGAATATGTCCGGAAGGTGAAAAAGCGAGCGATCGTGAATATTTTAAGCGGTAACATATCGAAGCTATGTTAAGTGCCCTCTTACGTGCATTATTGCGAAAGCGAATGCAAGTGCAATTCTCTTTCGTTTCAATTATATGGCTCCTGCGCTTTTTAACGTCTCGGTAAAGTGTCCGAAACATTTATTTCGTCGCATATTCGGTAACGTTGTTACGCCTCCGTACGCGAAGTTTGAGTTACTTCCGGAATAAATGTTGATCGTACGATGATCCCATAGAAAAAAAATTGCACTTTCTCCCACTTTCGATAACATTGTCAAAATGCGCTTCGATCTCGTATAGAGGGAGGAAAATTGATCTGGGGCGAATATTTGAATAATAAATATTCGCGCCACGGAGCATTCGGATATAGCGAGGTATTCGGATAATGGAGATTCTGCTCTATTATCGTACGAGACGCGGCGCGATGATATCGATGAAATTCAAGGCATTCCGGGGAAATTTTTCATTTTTCGTCCTGCTTCCAGGAGGCATATCTTTAACCCGGTGGGCACGGAAGGGCATACGTCCGAGCGAAATGGAGCACGCGGGCATTTACTCCCCGTTTACTCGCGATTCGAAAACCAGGGGAAGGGGCGGGAAGAGGATGGAGAGACGCGATTATGGCTGGTCGGAGACAAGAATGCCGCTCTCGTATGGCGTTCGATTCGAAAGACCGGCCTCGATCGGGCGTTCTCTTTTCCCTCCCCTCGGGAGGGAGGGATCCCTTTCCTTTGGCGAGCCGGTCTGTCTCGGGGCGATTCGCGACTTCCGCCTGGCGCGACTCCCGATTAAAACTTCCTTAAATCGCGAATCCCCGAGGAACCGTCGTGGACGTAATCGGGGACACGGGCGGTATCCGCGAGAAATCGATAGGGGCTTTTCCGCGTATCTTTGATCTCTCGAGTTTCGCAATTGTCCGATCCGCCGATGCGAAAACACGGCCGACGTGCCCCAAAAGAGGAGCCGAACTTTAATCTCGTCTTCCCTGCAGTCGGAAATTAAATCATCCTTCGGGGGACGAAACGAGAGAATTTCATTTTAATCGCGATAGGTAAGTTCCGTTAAAAAATCGCGTCTGGAACTTCGAAGCAAAAATGGACGAGGTCGAGGACTGACGTTTTGCAAATTTTGACATCGTGCGCTCACGTTAGACCGATTCAATGGAACGAAAAGCCCTGAATCGTTCCGAAACCAACGATTATGGATTCCCGATTGGCTGGACCGTCCGGGATCGTGGGCGATTGGTCGGCTCGTTCGGTACTTTTTATTCGGGCTCCATGGGTCATTGGATTATCACCCGTTCGGGGTATACGCGCATTTACGGATAATCATTGTGTGGGAGAATTCGGGCATAATCATGGTAATACGGTATATGTTAGCTGCATCCCCAAACGGCGGGACAACGTATTCGCAGCGGCTACATTTACCGCCAAGCGGCTGACATCGTTTCCCGCAATTTATCCGATTTTTGCGCATTCGTCGATCGAACTTTGAGATTTTACCCTTTGCCTCGCGATCGTAGGAACTGGATTTATTAGTCACACGGAGACGGAGCTACGAGGACGTCGAAGTAATTGCACGGGCAAGGTCGATCGATCGCGCGGAGGTATTTTCAAGTTTATTGCGAACAACGGAATCGACCACGGTTTTAAGGTCGATATTAGGAAGCGGATCGAGCCTTTCGCGTGCCAGTAGTCCGGAGTCCCGATTTATCGATACCTAGAATTCGATTACTGGCACGCGTGGGACGCGATATACTATTCGACGCGGGGACAAAGCGGCAACGCACCGCGTCCATTGCATCAGATTTTTTCCGCTTTCTCCGTATGGTCCAGATTCCTTGTTCGAAAGAAGCTGGTCATCCTCAAACTATTAGATTCGTGCCGAAGGCAAGGGTCCCTCGTAAAGTGAGAGGGGGTCCGTCTATAGTTTTTTTATCGATTTATAGGCTCAGGCTTTACGTCGTCGCGAGTTCAAGGTCGCAATAATTCTTCGAGCCGCGGTGAATCAATTTGAGTCGACGCGTATCGTTAAGGTCACGGTAAAGTACAAAAGGTTTCGTGGACGTATTCGATTTTCACCGAGCAAAGAATGTACGTAGGGTCGAATTTCCAGGGAAACGTATATTATCCGGGGAGAACAACGCGTTCCTCGAGGTAAAAACGAACAGAGAAGAGACAAAGAGAGCTAGAACACGGGGTGGGGGAGAGGGCATGGGATCGCTAACCGAAGCAAACGTGAATTTCGCGTTTACCAAAATTTAATATCGAACGCCAAATCGAACCGGACCGGCTAGTTCCTCGCAAATCTCCAGACGAGATCGGATATTCCGGCAACGCGTTGCCAAAGAGTCGGGGAAACCGCCCGGAGAGAGACGAGACGGAGGGGCGCTCGCGTGCGTCGTGCGTGCGCCACTCGCCGGTGTGTGAGTATATATATAGGGCAGGGCTCGTCGCGTCCGCGGTCTTACAGCATCCACGGCAGCCGCTGCAGCCGCTGCAGCCGCTGTTGCCACTCAGCTGGGAGCTGCCAACTGCCAGCTGGGAAGGTCCGAGCGCGAGGGCATCCGGAGTGCTTCGGAGGGCGGTCGGCGCGGATTCGGGACTCGGAAAATCTCCGGAAAATCTCCGGAATACATTCGGGGTATATTCGGGGTATATTCGGGGTATGAGCGAGGAGCCAAGAATTCGACTCTTGGTTTGCCTCTCGCCGCGGGGATCGTTTCTCGCTTCCGTCCGGAGGGGCCGACTCTCGAGTGTTCGCGAGTTTCCGGATGCGTACGAAATCCGTGCAGTGACGACTCTCGTGCGCGAGCTACCCGGATCGTTGGCGAGGGCGATATGCCGGCCCTCCTGAGCTGGGCGATCTGTTGCGCCCTGATCGCGCGGTCGGTCTCCGCCGAGGCGACGGATTCTGACGGATTCGGTCGGGTTTCAGCGACCCAGCGGTGCACCGACTCGGAGTTCAAGTGCGCCAACGGCAGGTGCATCCCCGACGCCTGGCACTGCGACGGCGAGAAGGACTGCGCCGATGGCTCGGACGAGGACACCGACGTTTGCAGTGAGTGAATTTATCTCCGCTAATTTCTCCGTCCAATGCACGTTGCTTGCTTCCTCGGCCCGGAAACGCTGCGCTTTGGAAGGAGAGACGTTTTACCGATCACCGATTTCGGGGACCCGGCTCGGTAATTGGATGTCAAATCATATTACGTGTGCATTAGTTGGGAGTTAAATCGCGTCATTTCGTTTGCCTTCTTGGGGACGTTATCGACATACGCGAATTTTTCGAGATCGCGGAGTAGGTACTTGGCGTTATTTATTCCTAGATAATTCTCAACTCGTTGACGATACCGCGAGGGTCATCGATGATCGACGTATTAAAATATCGTCGAGCTCGCTTTTCCATTGGTCGACCAAATTCTTCCCCGGATATTACGTTTTCTGCATGACCGGATTTTTGAATTAATCCTTTATGCCGCTTTGCAAATCATAATTACGGAGAAATAAACCTCTTTTTATTTCAAATTAAATATCAAATAATGTATTTCCCTCTCGAGCCCGATTTTAGCCGCGAGAACGAATTCGTGAAAATATTTGCCACGTATAAACGAGATAATGTTAATCAAATTTCATAAATATCGTTCGAGAGATCGGGGGTGCACTTGGTATTTTACTCGACACCTCGGATAATGTTAATACACCGTCGAGGGAAAAACCTCATATTTCGACGTGTAAAGAGATCGCTTCGGCGGCAGTTCGGGCGAGTGGCTTTAAAAAGTCGTTCGTAATAGCGAAAGGGTTAAAAGTACATGAATTCACGAAAACGGCGTAAAAAAAAAAAAACGTACCAACTGGAGCAGCACGTTTTTGCGCACTTTTTCCCGTTGACCTAGCTGAACAAACGGGAACATCCCCTTTAATCGAAGCCAACTTTTCCAATATCCGCTTACAAATTCGGCATGAAAAATCTAGCTTATTGCTTTTATCGTTTCGATTAATAATACAAGCACCGATTGCAAGCTCCGTCGTTCCGATTGTTCCGGCGAACTTCAGTTCGGCGGATTGAATAAGGGAGAAAAGTGCCTTTGATCCAAGTGAATTTTTCGCGGGATTCTTGAAAACCAAAAAAAAAAAGAAGGGGGAGATACACGTATTTTGATTTCATCCTATTCATTTTAATTGGCGATTAAAAATAATCGAGAAAACGCTGAACAAATAAAGAAAGAAACATTACCAAATAAATACAAAGAAGGAGAAGGAAACGTTTAATTGAAATAATTAAAATTGGACGTACCGCATTTTCCATTAAATTCCGGAGAAGGGAATTTAATGAAGAGAACAGCACGGAGCGTCGAGGTGCAAGGTCTAAAAAGTCAAATAAAGACGAATTCGTCTTTCACGCGTTTGCCGTCCCCTTCGGACTCCTGACATCTTTCTAATTATTCCGAGAGTCAATTTTCACTCGAGGGCAAACGTCCTCTACAGGCTAGGTGAAGTGTACGATATTCATGTGGAAGTTGGATGTAAGAACTTCAACCGACTCGGTGACGAGGATCGATGCACCCTGCGTGCATAATTTACCCTAAGCTGTCCTATTTCACGTGACATCTGCAAACTCGATTTCGCCGTGGCTCCGATGATAAAATTGCGGAATATCCATGTTTCTCCCAACTACGATCATCCATGGATTTTTTCCCGTACTTATCACTTTATCCCGGAAACGCGAACGGCACTAATCGAAATATTGCGACGTTCGGCAGAGATAACGTTTCGTGATAAACATTTCCCGAGAAATCGGATGATATCCAGCGAAATAAACATAAAACGTTTTGATTAAAGTACGATAGGATGCCCGTAAGGGATCCAGGACACGTTTCGGGATAATTCGCCGTCAAAATATAGTTCCATTAGTGTACATTGTAATCCCAGGAACTGCTATTGAAATGCTCCGACAAGCTGTTGCTTTGACAACGTATCAGGGGATTGCAATGTACGAGACATTAATGGGACTACATTTTGACACCGACGTGTCCTAAGGAATTTCAGAGCCTGCCGTGGACGTTCCATCATTTTGTAAATAATTGTGCGCATTCGATAATCGTCGTAACGGGATACCAATGAACGCGTTTGGATCGTCATTTATCGTTGGTTTCAAACGTGGACGTTGCCCCGTTGTCGTAGGTTCTTCGTGGAGTCGAAGTTGAACAAAACGCATTAAAAATCGGACGAGCAATCTCCAGGCTTGTTTGTTCATCCGAATTACCTCATGGTCCGGCCGGAACCGAGCAATTTGGTTTGGTTTTGACTGGCAAAATGGCTCCACATCTGCAAACGGTCAAAGCCACTAAAAGCCACTTTGCCATCAGAGGTTTCCAAACAAAAGCCTAAAAGAGCTTCTTTCCCGGCACCATCGGAGAGCTTCTAGTCGATGAAATCGGCACACAGTGCCGTGGGATGCTCTCGACGTTGCGTTAAACAATTTTTTTTTTTTTAGTCCAGGTGGAAGAGGTTAGCGCAGTTTTATCGCGAGAAAGACCCCCGTCTTAAATATCGCGTAGACGTAACCTAGGACGTGCATACGAGGCCTGGAGTATCGGGGCAGGAATCGTGGGCGCAAGAACTAATAAGAAGAGCGGACTTTAATGTTTCGAAATGACTTTTACGGTAGTTGCTAGAACGAGCCGAAACTCCCCGCGAGGAAATTAGAATGGAAACGGTAATTCAAACAAAGGAGGGAAGAGCAAATTTCTCCTGTGTTCGGGGCCGAGGCCCTTCGGCCGGGCGGAATTAAGACGATACGAAACGCCCCGGGGAAGAGTTACGGTGTCCCCCGATTTTCTACCTCCGATATCGAACCTGGGCATTAAAGTTTATCGAATCGCGGATTTCAATAAATTCCCGGGCGTATTCCGCGTCACCTCGATGCGCCCCTTTGTCAGTTCGCCCGTCCGTCCAGTTTACCGCAATCGAATGACACCGAGTTAATGGATTGTCAATACCGCCCCTGGAACGGAAACCAATAACAACTGCTGGAGCTTACTTTGTTATCGATGCCTGTCAAGCGATGGGCGGAAGCTCCTATTTTGACCATTCCATTAAAAAAGAAGGGGGTGGGGGGTCCTGTCTCGCGTCGCCCGTCTAGCATCCATCGTGGGGCACCCCGGGAGCACCCCTCGAGTACCCTTCCGGCACCCTTCCAGCGTTTCGGCATCGAAATCCTATCCGCTCGGTTCTGCGGACGGTGCAATCGTATGTTTGTACGATTTCAAAGTAAAATTTTAATGTATTTGCATCGAATGCGAGGGCATTCGCCGGGAGAGGTCTAATGGCAAAAGTCAACTGGAAGTGAAACTGCTTCATTAGCATACCAATGAAGAGGGATCGACCTGTAACCCGTGCTTATCGCCGTCAAGTCGAAGTAGGAAAAGCCGACTATTGCCTCTGCGGTTTTTGATAGCGGTTCGCTTTGCCCTTCCGAAGAAACGCGCAATTTTACGTTTCTCCGATCCATCGGCCTCGCAATTTGCAGCCGACTTTCTCTGCTTCTTGCCGCGACTTTTGAACTTCGTTTCGCGCCGCCCCTTGAGGTTTCCAAATTCCGCGCGTTTGCGCGAAATGACACGAACGCAAACCAGTGAAAACCATTTCCGGAAAGCCGTTCGCGTTTCGGCTACCAATTGGCCCAGTTGCGGGCTCGTTAGAAACGCTTTTCAACCCACTTTCCGCGCTCCGGGATGGTCGGAATTAATTAGCTCGAAATTTCGTTGTGTCTCTCGTTTCTTGTTAACATCTATACCCGACAAAATGTTATTTGAAGAAATACAGGCTGAAATTCCGTGGCGAGTTATCGTCCGAAATAACGATCGATCGTTTTCGCGTAACCGGCACCAAGTGCTGCAATGTGTAATTTCGAGCAGTACTTTGATTTCCTAGTTAAGGGCCAAACCCTTCGATAGAAATTTATGGCACCTCTGTAGATTGCTTTTCAGTTGATTACCGAAGCCCCTTTGCGTTACTTGTGCAGCAAAGCACAAAGAGGGTTCACCATATTGGCAGCAGCGTAATTATTCACGGTATAATATCGAGGCGAGGAGGGGAAACGGTATCCATATAAAATGTTTAAAATTCAGGCAAACTTGAGAGCGAGCATTAAATGAAGAAATTCTGATCTTTGACAATAGGGATAACTGCTTTAATCGCACATGACTTTAAAAAAAATTACGTTTTATTCAGAAGTAATTATTGCATTAAAGCCACACCGAGGTAAAACTTATTTTGCATAAACTCGGAACGTCCTCGGGGAAGAAAGCTGTCCGAGGAGATGTCCAACTTTAAACTTCTTTAACTTATGAATTGCGTAATTCGTAGGCAAACGACTTAAGGAATCGTCCACGGAAACCTCAGATTATGCATTAAAAAGGCGCCGGTGACCACTAAATTAAATGAGCAGGACGAGAACGAAACGATAACTCGAATCTTCCGAACGGACGATAAACGCTGAGGCGAGTTCATTTTTGTCCGGAACAATCAGCGTAGAATTTTTCGCGTATGGAGGCACAGCACTTTTAACTCGATGTACAGTATCGTCTTGAAAAATTCAAGTATCACGATTGAGATCCCTGAAATTCGCATTTTTCGCGACGTTATTAATGACCCCGGTTATCGCGATTTGTTTAAAAAAAAAAAAAGTCTGTTTGGTATCTCGAATATACACAGCGAGAGTGCAGGCGGAATCGTCCACTTTGTCGTTGGCAGATAATTCGCTAAGCGGTGGGGAAGAGAGGGAAAAAAATGTGGCACGAAATTCTAAAGAACGTTAATTTGTGTCCGAATGGTGGAACTGAAATACCACGGCAAGACGAGGATCCGAGGTCCGCAAAATTGAATGCCTAATTTCATGTCTGAAAGATTCATCCGTGTAATTCAACGCTCTCCTTTGTGCCCTGGTCCTGCCGCATTATTATTTTCCTTTTTTTTTGTTTAATTCCACGCGCGCGGCGCCCAATGGAAAACAATAGTTCCCGCAATCTATTGTTTTTCCGTACGAGTACGAACGTAACG